CAGAAAGTGAGTCAAATAAAGCGAGAAAGAATAGTCTTTCATTGGTGTCACACATGAGAAATGATCTCTACTTCTTCTCAACTCAACAAGGAAAAATACAAAAACAACAACAGGAAGTGTAGTGCTGAAATACTACATCAAACTATCTGCAGTCGTCAGCTGAAACAAGAACCATGGGTCGTGGAGTGTGTTTTTTGTTGATGTGTTTGTGTGTGTAATTTTAAAGCCATATTGTAATTTTTTTTCCTCCATTATTTTTAACAATTAGACAAGGGTTGCTATTATCGTCTGCCTGCTCGGGCGTCAAGGACCCTAAAAGACCTCTGTTAAATAACCCCAGTGACTGCATCAACACCCCTCAGGCTCCCAAATACTCAACTTTTTTTTTTTTTTTTTTTTTTTTTTTTCTTCCCCCAGTAGCTACATTCACAGCAGCTACGCTTCCTCGCCTAATTTGCCATTTATTTCCTCCTGGGACTGGAACATTATAAGGAGGTCATATGGACATTTTATTTTTTATTTGATCGCTCTGCGAGCCCCGTCGTCATTTCAGTTTCAGCCGCCCCTCATGTAATTTCTCTAGTAAACACAATCATGTTGTAACTGTCAGATGACCCACAGTTGAACTCTGCAAAGCCAAAGTGTGATGGGTTACCACATACCCCCCCCCGCAGTTTAACCAGATGTACCAATATCCCAACTAGCAATGTGAAGTATTGGATTTGGAGGGAGGGAGGGTTTAGGGACACATTTTAGCTGTGTTAAACGATAGCTTTTGGCTCTGGGCAAAGAGCCGATGTCACACAACTGAAAGATGGAGAAGGGAGGTGTGAGTTTGGAAATGGAAGTGCGTGTAGTAGAGAGGGGCAGGGGGCAAGGACAACCTGACACTAACGCACCATGTTTTATTATTTCTTTCATACCATCTCTCCTCCTGGAAAGTTTTTCATCCTCCATGTGTATTGCAGTATGCTTTCTTTTTTCTTTTAGTTTGCAGAGAGCACTAGGCTTTTTTTAATTAACCATTTTATGAGCATACATTGCTCCCAGATGAACTGAATGTGCATTGCATCCTTTTTATTTTCTCCTCTTCTGTTTCTGACTGTTTGCACCTTGCTTTACTAATACCTCTCAATCCACCTTTTTTTTTTTCTTGTTTTTAAAAAAGAACAAGTTTTGCTTTGGCATGCCAGAATGAGCCAAGCTACTTTGTGACCTGTGAAAATCCTATATAAATGGTTATCTAATGGATTTGCTTTTAGATGTATTGCTAATCAGTGTAAATTCACGAATAAAACTGTATTTTAAGAAACGGAAGCTAATTTTTCATGTTTGTGCATCACAATTCACCTCACTCATCAAACAGCTTTTAAGTTCAACATAATCCATACACACTCATTTTACTTTATGCCATTATCATGAATTGAGCCATTACATGAAGTGTACATATTCAGTTTCACATGTTGCATTGCATTATAATTTTACAGTATATATAGAACAGCTCCAAATAGAAGGACCTATGATGAAATAAAGTACTTCAGTGTTAAATGAGCAGGGGAAAAAACTAACCGGTGCCTTTTTTATCTTTATTTGTGATTATAAAAAGATGAGTGAGTGTGTATGTGTGTGTGTGTTTGGGAATAGTTCAATCAGGAAGTTGTGACGTGTGGCATTGATTGGCTTAATGCAAGTGAAAATATGACACTGATCATAAGAGGCACAGGAAATGCGGAAGCACTTGAGCACAAATGCTGTCAAGTGGGTAGTTTGCACAATGGCAGTTCTTCTGACACATTGAGAGCTGCATTTCTCCATGAAGTATTCAAATAAAACAATGTGACAGAATCATTCTGCTCACTACCCAGTCTCAAGAAGAGATGAGGAGCAAGCTACGGGTCTGATAAGCTGCCAGATTTTCTTTCATTTTCACACTTTAGCCCCAGCCATTACTTGAGTACTTTTATCATATTTCACTCAGCTCCCTCTGGAGCCCCAAAATGGCTTCTTACAACTTTTTTTCTCATATGCAGTAGTACTCCCCAAAACCTGTAAACAGACATTAATAGTTCCACTTTAAGAGTTCAACACCAAAAGAACCACTGTTTGAAATAACAGTAATGTTGTTGTAGTTTTTGTATGAGTAGGTGTGACTTTTTATTTGGAGTCCCTGTGATGTGTCTACAGATGCTCACTTTGCCGCCAAAGTGTCTGCTTTGCTCCTAATATCCAAATAAACTGCCCTCGTCCCAGCCACAACAGAGGCGTTCGTCTCATGTTAGTGCAAACCTGTCACAGCTCGACACAACATGGCATCTGTGTTGCACATGTGAGCATAGACTGTCCAGCAGCGTATTCAGGAAACTGGGGGATTTTGTGTTCATGAGCAGCCAATGTGCCTTGTGACTGAATTTATATCCTTAAATGCAAAACAAAATATGCAAAACCTGTATCATGATAATGTGTGCTAACCTGTGAGATGTCTCTCTCTGGTCTCTATCTGCCAGTTGACAGAATATTCACATTTTGACTTGGAACTAGCAGAATTTTTTGTCCTATACACCCCCAAAACATGTCTGAGTCCTTTTTGAAATTTAAAGTTGCCATGCTTTTCCTCACCGTGGCCTATTTGCACTCTCTCAATGCTTTGCTGAGTTGCTATCAGCGACTTGAACAATACAACTCCACCACTTCTGCCAAAAAATTATATTTTTTAATATACATAAGATAATTGAGTTTGACAGTGTAATAAATGCCCGAATGGTTGGAGAAAAAGTTATTTGAATGTCATTTAAGTGAAAGGTAACTTTTCTGACATTTACCTATAAGCAGGTTAACACAAATGCTAAGATTAATCAAACTTTGATTAATTCTTCACTGAGGCCCAATAAGAGTTAGTTAATGAAAGGAGAGAATGAGATGAGAGAAACACTTTCTTTTTCGCCCTCTTGCACTTTATCTACATATTGCTAGGTATAGCTTCCTTATATAGTATTTACAGCACCTGTAATCCTGTCCTGGTGTCAGTGAATGTGATAGTATACAGCACTTTATTTGGCAAGTTCCTAATATGAACAATAAAAGCATATGAGCTATCCTGCGACTTGGTCCATTTTGTGCTTCTCATGGTGTGTTGAGAGATGAAGGCTCCTTCTGGCTGATTCAGTGTCATGTATGTGTATTCACTTGTTTTATGGGTGAAGTGAACTGCTGATTCTGAAGTAATTTAATTGCTGTGTTGTCCGTTCTTTAACTCTGGTATTCAGAAAGACAAATATCAATATAAGAGATGAAACTATTGATCCTGTTTGGGGGAAATGAGGTTGGGGATCAATAAGGCTTCATCTCATATAATATATTCTTCTTCCCATACAGCAGAAAAGAGGAATACAAGATAAGTGGAAAATGTATATTCATTAGGACTTTTTTGGGGAGTTTATGTCCAAAATGCTACAGTATGCTAATTTTGTAAGAATGTGTCCGATTTCTTTCAAATGATGAGTGTCCCATTTTAGACTACAGCTCTTCAAACTGACCCCAAACCAGCACACGTGCGCAGTACACACTCATACATTACACGCAGATCCATCCTGTTGCATCATGTTCAGTACCATTAAGTACGCAAAGAGGGGTTTCTCTTCTCCAGACAGCACCACGCTGTGAGTGTCAAAACAATGAGCCTACTTGCGCCCAGATGGATGCTCTGCTAGGGTACTGTGGAAACCATGATAGGCCTCTTTTTTTTCAGGGCAACCCCCACATACACACAAACACACAAGCACCCCTCCCACATCCACATACCCAAGTAGACACCCCACCCCTCCAAGCTTCAGAGCCACCAGAGACTGCAGTGATGCCCAGATGCCACTGGAATGAATTAGGGACTGATAAACAACATAAGGGGTCAGTTAGGTCTGAGCCCAAATGCACACCCCATGGGACCACCCACACACACACAGAGTCATACAAAAGCTTGGGCTAAATTTTGAACATGATGAGTGAAGAAAGGAGTAAAGGGTGGATTTTGACTTGCTGACAGGCCATGGATTAAATGTCCTCAGATTGTCATCACCAAAACGACTGTCCTCTAATTCTTTATCTTCCTTGTGTTTCATGACGTTATTTACATAGCAGAAACTCTTGTGGATGCTTTTGTCCAACATGCATTACCATGTGTCTTTGGCAGAGTGGTTTCAGTAGCCCAATCTCAATGTCCACACTCACAGACTCACCGAGTTCCTGGTAAGTGCGTGAGGGCTTAGGGCTGTCCCACTGTCAAATTGTCAAGTGTGTGAGGGCT